CCATTTTTAGGGGTGTGGGCTGCTTCCTCTCCCATCTCCAATCACAGTCTGCCAAGTCACAACGATTGAGCAGGCGACGTGGGCGCGCTGCATGTAGTGATGCCGCCACGGCGCCTTCATGTTGCCATGCCGCCCTCGAACTCCTGCGCACAAATATTGTCCGTACATGTTCATCTATCAATCTCATCTCAGGGCAACTCCCAAGGCTAGACCTCATTCTCTCCGGCTATATTCGTTTTGGCCTAAATGGACAGAAGCGACGGTCTAACGCGCGATCACATTCGCAAAAATTTCGATCCAAACATATGCCCGATTTGCGTCCAAAGAAACAGCAAACGGACCTCCACGTGCTCGCTCCTCATCCGCCCACCTACTTCCTACCGCCCACATTTACGGTGTCCGTATGGGCGGACCCACTTGCTAGCCACCCACCCCCCGATCGTCGTCCTTGTTAATGTGGAAGTTGGGGGTCCTGCAGTCCACAGTTCCACTTCCGAGCCCGCGTGTCTCCTCGAGTCCTGACACGAGCAAATCCTAGCCCCCCGGCCACCGCTCTTCCACCTTCTCTCCTCCACCTCCTCTCCGGTGGCTATGGTCTGGAAGCACGACCACGAGGCCGGGTCGTCTCCGGCTGCCGCAGCCGCAGCCACTCCACCCCACCTCCACCTCCTCCGGTATTCACCATGCCCGCCAGCCGACGCACATGTCCGTTTTACCAACCCAAACAGATGGAACCCAGACAAAATGGACGTCTGTCTGAAGTCGACGGTTGGAATTGGCCTCATAGACTCATACTCATCCGCCTATTTTAAGCTAGAACATTTCAAGCGTGGTGTAGTCGTGCGGTGTCTCTTGCTCAAAAGAAAAACAAAGAAAGCAAAGTAGAATTGTGTTCAAAAGAAAAAAAAAGCCCAACAAGAAGCCAACAAAGAGGCAAAAAGAAACCAAAGAAAAGAACAAAGAAACCTAAAATTAAAAAAGTGAAGAAAAAGTGACAAAAGGAGGAAAGAAAACCAATGAAAACCCAAAGGAAAAAAGAAAAGAAAATTAAAACGAAAAAACACTAAAGAAAATGGTCGAGCGAACACGTGAAAACGAGCCTGCCCGGTACTGTAGCACATATAGACGAACCTAAGAGCATCTCCAAAAGCCGCGCAACGCGCGGCGCGCTAAAAAAGCGTTTGCAGCGCGCCGATCGCGAGCTTTTGCGCCGTGAGGAGCGCTTGCTCCAGTGGCTGCTGCAAATTGTAGCGTGCCCGAGCCGCTCCAACAGTCGCTGCAAAAAAACTGCGCGCGCTCGCATAAACAACATATGCACTTCCAAACAAAACCAAGAAAATCAAACACAAACAAAATAAATCAACAATAAATAGTTCAATGTTATTATTAAAACTCAAATAGATAATTTATCTTGCAATGGAACAAATAGTTCAACAATACCACATCAAACATGCAACATTAAATGCACAAATCATGATGCTCTTTGTCGGCCATTCCATGTTCACCACTCCTCGATGAGATGCTTCTGAAGATCATCATGTGTTTCGGCACGTCGAATGGCATTGATAGGAGGCAACAAAACGGGCCACCCTGGCAGCCCTCCGCCGCACTCGCACGGGATGTCCCAAAAGCTCATAGTGAGAGTAGTCTAAATCTTGGCCACGCTCATTCTCGATGATCATATTGTGCATGACCACACAAGCGTGCATGATGTACCAAAGCATCTTTTGATCTCAAAATCTAGCCGGTCCTCTCACAATTCCAAATTGGGCTTGCAAAATCCCAAAAGCTCTCTCCACATAGTTTTTAGCCGCCGCCTGAGCAATGTGGAAATCAAGATTTTTCTTACCTTCCGGTTTTTTCAACGGCTTCACAAATATTTGCCACTTTGGGTAGATGTCGTCCGCAAGATAGTAGCCATAGTTGTATGTACAAACTGCACCGGTGGCAGTTCACCATTTGCAATCTTATTCATTAGTGGTGACCGATTAACAATGTTGATGTCGTTCAAAGATCCATGCATTCCAAAAAAGCATGCCAAATCCAAGTCTCTTGATCGGCCACTGCTTCAAGATTATAGTGGAACCCTTTTTTGGCCATGGAATTGCCCATGCCATGCCTTATCACATTTCTTCCAACTCCAATGCATGCAATCTATTGAGCCAAGCATACCTGGGAACCCACGAGCTTTGTTCATCTTCAAAAGCCTTGCACAGTCTTCAACATTGGGAGATCTCAAATACTCAAGGCCAAACACTTGCACAATTCTGACTGCAAAGCGCTTGACACACATGATGGCTTGACTCTCACCCATGACCAAGTGGTCATCAACTAGATCAGCCGGAATACCGTATGCCAACATAAGCAAAGCGGCTGTCACCTTCTGAAAGGTGCTATGCCCGAGCTCTCCGGCGGCATTCCTCCTTTGATGAAAAAACTGATCATGGCTCGCTAGTTTCTCTGCAGTGCGCCTGAACAACTCGGTGCTCATCGTAAACCAGCGGCGAAAGTACGACTCGGGGTATGTGGGATTCTTCACAAAATAGTGTGTCATCAATCTGTTGTCGGCATTGATCCTATCCCTCCAAATTTTCTGCCGACCCATAACCGAACCACCGTGCTTTGGTTTTTTATTGATGTGCATAGCTAGGATCATTGCAAGATCCTCCTCCTCTTCAATATCAAATTCTTCTTCGGAAGAATCATATGACGAACTCATCTACAATGTTCAATTTAACTAGACTATAAAAACTATGCACCAAGTTCATGTAAAAAATGTGAAGTTGAAGCAATACATACCTTGCAAGCGTTTTGTTGAACACCTTGCGGGCGCCGAGCGGCAGTGGGCGGCCGGGCGTTGTTCGTCGGAGGAATGGTGCAGGCAAGGGGCGGCGACGACTGGAGGGAGATAGAGGAGGCAGCGGTGGTGCGGGGATAGGCTGGGGAAGTGCCGGAATGGTCGCCGGGACAAATGGGGTGGTGCGGGCGGTGGTGCTCGGGGTAGGTGGAAGTCGCGAGCGGGCGCTTGAGTGTGCGGCGCGCGGAAGTGGGCGCAGCAAATAAACGGCGTGCGATGGCATTTCGGACCGCCCGCTGAACTCTTTATGCCGCCCGCGCGGTTATTGCGCCTCCGCTGGAGCTCCCAGAGCGGTTGCGCGCGCGAGGTAGAAACTCAAAATTTCCAGCGCGGCGCTTATATAGCAGGCTGCTGGAGATGCTCTAATATATCTCGGTACGTTTTTTGTTACTCAAAAAAAAAATCTCGGTACGGCTTCTAAAAAAAAAACTCGGTACGGGCGATACGTAGACGTAGGGGCGTTTAGTTAGGATGAATGGGAATTACATATAGGGTACTTAAAGGCTTAACCTAAGTCTAGCATTTTTGGTTGAGAGTCGGTTTGCAAAACGTCCCTGAACCATCTCCTCTTCCCCCCGTTGCATGCACAAGGAAAGTACTACGCCGCCGCCGGCCCTAGTACCCGGCCGGCAACACCCTCCTCCAATCGCCATGAAGGGTCTCCACAGCAACGGTGATGTAAGCCCTTGCTTGAGTGTTGTTCTTGTTAATTCTCTCTTAGATTCATGTAACTCAGACGAACTATGAATAGATCTACCATCATCGTACGTATCTCCCTGGTTGCATGCAGCTGCATGAAGAAGGGGTGGACAGGCTGAGCGAGCTGTCGGACGACATGCTGCTCAACATCTTCGACAGGGTGTGCGCGCTGGACGCCGTCAGGACCTGCCTCCTCTGCAAGCGGACGCTCCACCTCCCCGCCATGCTCTCCCGGATCGCCATCGACGTCTACTCCGCTCTACCCGCCGCCGCGGAGGACGGCGACTTCAGCATGAGCAGGGCCATGGTGGCCCGGACAAACTGCTCGGTCGCCCACGTGACGCGCAGGATCCTTGACGCGAGGCCTCCCAACATGCCCATCAGCAAGCTGAAGCTCAAGTTCTTCCTGCAACTCGACGACTGCCTCTCCATCGGCACCTCCGTCACCCGCGCCATGGCGACGAACAGGGTGGACGCCGCCGAGTTCAAGATCATCACGGAGGACTTCAACAAGTGCGCCGACGGCTACCTCGTCGGCTATGCCAAGCGGTTCAACTCCTTCCTCGGCGCCTGCCCCGAGGCCTTCGCCGGGCTCACACGGCTGCACCTGGAGAACCTGAGGTTTAGCGACCCCGCCGCCATCTCCAGCATCCTTGCCGCCTGCGGGCGAATGGAGTCTCTGCGTCTCTTCGAGTGCGACGCCGGTGTCGAGTCGGTGATGCGGGTAGAGCACGGCCGCCTCATCGAGCTCGAGATCTTCTATGGCAAATTCCGCACGGTGGAGCTCCGCTGGCTGCCCAAGCTCCGGCGAATGGTCTATCATAATTGGGCCTTTGCCGACGATCCCTTATTTTTCGGTTTTGTCCCGCAACTCTCCAAAGTCCAAACTAAGCCTCTCTAATGCTTATCTTTCAGAAAATAAAATCAGGCTAAGCCAGCTGCTCGTTAATTTCACCTCCATTAGCGACATGCATCTCGATTTTCAAAGCGAAATGGTACGTGCATGCATGTGTCCAACTCACTCCAAATCTCCAATCATCTCCATCGGTGTTACATATATGATATGAGATCCTCTCTGATACATAGCAATTAATATGGACTCTCCTGTTTTACATTACATTTTAACGTACTGCTCATTATATCTTGCTTTGAACTGCATATATACCTTGTTGCTACTTTGTTCAATAAAATGGCTGTGTGCATCACGTGATGCAGAAGCCGGGAGAAATCGCTATTTTTCTTTCAAATGTGCATCTTGCACTCACCAACCTCTTTGTCTGATTTATCGCAGGTATGGATCGTGCCAGAGTGCCCGGGACTGCTCGGCCCGGTGCTCGGTAAGCTACGGCGCGTGGATCTGGACTTTCTTCCCAAAGGGTGCGACATCGCATGGACATTGTTTTTCCTTGAAGGCGCGCCATCCCTGGAGGAGATGTGCCTCTCGGTGCGGGATCACTGGTGCGGTGCTGAGACACGGGACGCTCACTGCGAGGAAAGGGGCATGCACTGGAAGCCATCTCTAGGTGCTGATTTCAAGCATGAGAATCTGGCCAGGCTAACCATCTACGGCTTCCAATCCGCCTACCGCTTCATTAGATACGTCAAGCGTGTCATAAGTGTTGCGGTGAACATTAAGGAGATATCTCTGCACGACACGAAAGTGTGCGACTTCTGCACTGAAGAATTCGGCCTCAAGAGGGACGATTGTTTGTCAAAATATACAAGGACGAGCAGGAAGAAGGATCTGCTGAGGGAGAGGATTAAAGAGGGGCTTGTTATGACTTCTCCTGCTGCGATTCACTTTAATTAGGTCCTTAAGTTGATGCACACCATTAAGTCGAACTAAACCCCATGAGAGTAGTTTGTTTGAGTTAGTCGACAGATATAGAGCATTTTGACACTAAATGTGGTGAAAATTAGGGACAAGGGAAATTACAAAGCATGATATAAAATGAAGCTTGGTTATTCATTTTCTTACACGAATTTCCAGTAGATCCTTTACCCCCATCTTAGTGGTACCTTTTGTATGCAGCTTTGGGTGCTTTCCATGCCATCCCTTGCTTATATTAGCATCGAGTTATTTGCAAAACAAACAAAAAACTATCGAGTTGTAATAACCAACCATGCCTGATATGCGCCTTTCTTGATGCTCATGTCAACATTTGTAACCAATCATGAAAGAGAATGCATGTTCATGAAGAAATTCAACGAGCATGAATGCTGAAAGACAAAAATTCGTACAAGCACACTGCACACGGCTTTTTTTCTTCCTTTTTTTCGAAAAGGAGGTTAACCCCCCGGCCTCTGCATCAATTGATGCATGCAGCCATCTTTATTAATTATTCCACAAAGGTCTGACAAGAACATACATCAAATCACCCGAAGCCACCACTCACACTTACAAATACGATAATGAGGAGTGCTCTCACTCCTCATATCCACATAACGTATCGGGACTAACAGCCGGTGCAGCAGACCTAAAGCGCACATCATTTGCACACGTTTTAGAAGCCGTCATCTTCATCGAACCACTGACCCATCTTCAGAAGATATATCCGCATCATCCTTGGCAGTTCGGACATCCGTCGACGCCACCACGGCGCCCAACGGCGCCACCGCCCTGCGCTCGTCCGTCCAGACGCGAAGACTCTGGAAGATCTGTCGTGTGTAGCACCTGCCAACAAGGCATGACTCAGCGTAGCACCTGTCGGCCAGGCATGACTTGACAGCTCCACCGAAGCTCCGTGCAAGACGGAGCCGCTCCACCTCCTGCCTGTGTCTTCCAGCGCTGCTCCACAAATGATGCTCCCAAGAGAGACACGGCACCGCAATACCGCCATCGTCCGATCTAGAAAACCAGATCCTAGGGTTTCCCCCGAAGCAGTGCCGATCACCAGCAACCCTCAACGACCCACACAGTGCCCACCACCACTCAGCCCTCAAGGCGACGCCTTCGGGAAGGTCATGGCGTCAAAGACGACGCCGCCGCCCACCGTAGTTAGGGTTTTCACCCGAGAGGCGGAATGGGGGGAAATGAAGGAGCAGACATAGACCGACGTCTCCAACAAGAAAATCGGCGCCCTTGAGCGTCATCATCGGCGCGGCCGGGGCCGACCAAGGGGTTTCCCCCAATCTGGATCTCCTCCACCAGCTTCTCCCGCGGTCGGGGTCCCGGCAACCACACCGGCACCGTCAGGAACCCGCAGGAGAGAAGCCCGCCGATCAAGGTCGGATGACTGCGGCCAGATCTGGCGCTAGAATCCACTCCGACAACGCCGGCCACAGATCTGGCCACACCCAGATCCGACGCGCCCGCCGTGCCGACGACCACCTCCACTCGCCGGAGTGGAGAACCATCCCGGATGCGCAGCCAGGCACCAACGACACCACGAGCCGCCACCACCCACAACAGGACGAACTTGGGCAGAGGGCGCCCAGATCCGCCACCACCGCGCGCCATGGCTGGCCACCACGCTGCCCCGCCAGCCATTGAGGCATAGCCCCGCCGAAAAGCCTGGAGCCGCCGCTCCAGCTTCCGAATTCCGATCTCCACCGCAACGCCTGGCGTCTAGGGTCGCCGTCGCGCGCAGTCCGAGTCCGTCCCCAGGATGAAGGGCGAGCCCGCCACCGCCGTCCGCCGGACGAGCTTTGCTCGCCGGCTTCCTCCGGTGGCGGCGGGGAAGGATGGTTCGGGGTGGGTTGGGGGCGGCGGCGGCTAGGGTTCGCCCGAGCCGCCCCCTGGGGGCAGCGCGAGCGCAAGTCTTTTGCGAGATTCAAAAAACTATGTAGTAGACGAGCATTCTGTATTGGAAGATCGTGCATCGCCTTCAAAAAATACTCTTCCTATCAATCTAATCCAATCAGAAGTGATGACATGAGTACTCCGTTTTATACTCCTTTGTAACACAATCTTTTGTTTGCTCACTAGCAGTTTACTCCATGCAACGTCATCATATCAGCAGTTTCGTTGTTGCAAGCAATGGATTTCTGATCACGACTAGAACATGTCAAGAAACGACAATCAAACGTAGTAACTAAAATCTAATCTAGCATGGAATCAGTTTCTGTTATGAGGAAAAATCATAAGAAAAACATTCACATTGGTATCGGGGGTATCCCATCAGTATCCATGTTAATTATTTCAGTTTTAGTAAAATACTCAAAGAGAAAATGCCGGTTGCTGATTGGGCTTTGGCCAAAGTGAGAATTAATCCTGCTCCTAAGCCTTGGCCACCTCCTACTACAGACTCTGTTGCTCTATCAGTTGATGGATCTTTTTCAGTTGATTCTGGCGCCGCAGCCATAGGGATGATTCTTCGGCGACATGATGGATCAGTTATTTTTGCAGTATACCGGTATATTTTCAATTGCAATGATGCACTAGAAGTGGAGATACATGCGCTTATGCAAGGGATGGCACTTGCTATACAACACTCCAATTGTCCGGTGATTGTTCAATCTGATTCTAGTGTAGCGTTATCGAGTTTGACAGGAGATGGATTGATTCGTTCTGCCTATGGACATCTCGTAGCTGAAATTAAGGCATTGATGAGGGATAGGGAGTTTATTCCCCAGAAATTAAATAGGGATCAAAATAGAGTCGCTGACCGCTTGGCTAATTATAGTCACGTAGAGTGTACCACGGCTGTGTGGATGCATCTAGGACCACCATGTATCGAGGATCTTTTGCCTCACGACTGTAACTCTATCAATTTGGAATAAAACTCCTTTTTCATCGAAAAAAATTATTTCAGTTTTAGTAAAATAGAAAACCGAGGGATACATATATGCCTGATATGCCAACCGTCATTACAATCATCTTGGCACACATTGCCAATCTCATCAGATCCATGTCTCAGCCAAACAGCCCTTCTAGTAGAAGATCTACCTAATTGATCACTTTCCTTTGAATGAATAAAGACAGCGAGATTTCTCAAAAAAAAGAAAAACCTAACTGAGCAAGGGAATGAACAACACGGTTTTGGCTTCTGCCCTCCTTGCACAATCTCTATGGCATCCACCCAGCTCGCGGATGGAGAAGTTCGAAGCCGGCGTATCATTCAGCAACTCGCCGCTCCAAACCAACTTGCTGAGGAGCGGCTAGTTGCTCCAAGCGAGCACGCGGAGCATAGCGGCATGGGCATCATGGCTGCCGTGGACGACGCCATGTCATACCACTGCTCCTGTGCCCAGGACCGCGCCATCTATCATCAACGTGCGCGTAACCGCACCCTGCCGGCGGAGAAATAAGTTGGCATCACGGAGATGGATGAAACGGTGGCCAGCACGTCCATGGGCGCGACCATGATTGAGAACAAGTAGAACACGGGAGGCCGACGCCGCTTGGGTCCCATGAAGGCCACCACCGAGGCGACGCTGGCGTACGCAATCGGTGTCTTGCCCGGTCGCAGGCCATCTTCGCCCCCTTCACATCTGGCTGAAACATACCGTGGGTGTTCCACTCTGATGAGCGGTGCTGCCGAAACATGAGGAAGCGAGCCACCCTTTGCGCTGGAGCATATACCTCCGAGGCTCACGGCAGTTTGGCAAGTGGACGGCTGGGCATGGGCAAGACAGTGGAGATCCGCCGGCACCGGCCGTAGACTAATTTTACCTACTCCTTCCAAAATGTAGTGAATCTCATCTGGTTTATATGAAATCCGTCGTGTTTGGATGAATTTTGTCCGGTTAGTTAAAAAACTTGTTGAAATGTATGTGTGCAGCGTTGGATGGTTGCCTCCCGCATCCATCCGCGGTCAAGGAGACCGTGCCCGTGGACTGGTCCCCTTCACCGCGGACAGATGCAGGAGAAAATTTGCAGGTCGCCGTTGAAAATGCCCTTAACAATCGACTCGGCATGTAAAGTTGATAAACTATTTAACTCCTAAAAATGGGCCTTGACTTTTCGGTTATCTAGAATTTGGTTAGTTTTTCTTGATCTCACCCTTAATGTACTGTTGGCCCATCGAAATGTAGTCCTGAAAACTGAGAAACTTTAGCAATCAACTTTTTTAGAACACAATACAAACGCAGACGCTCATACATAAAACATACACTTATCCCTACAAATGCACGCACACCCTATCCCTATGGGTACATCCGAGAGACTGTGCCACACATTATCTTGAGTCTGACAATGTCGCTCCAGACGCCTTTATAGTCGATGGGAACGTCTTCTACCATTGAACGCACATCTCGGTAAGTCCTGAAATAAATTCATGAAAATGCGAGTAGATGTTGTTTTTCCTGTGAAAAGTGAAGGAAAGTCTCCCTTCCCACAGGAATACCATATAAATTCATGAAAATGCGACCGAGTAGATGTTGTTTTTCCTGTGAAAAGTGAAGGAAAATCTCCCTTCCCACAGGAATACTATTCAGGCAATCCTTTGCACCGAACGGATGAACAGTGCAGAAAACCATATGATTCTGGTTTCTATGGCTTTCCTCCAAACCAAACGGATATTAACAATCACTTGAGTTAGAAAGTAAGCATTTTTTTAATAAAAAATGGTGAATAAATTTTAGAACAAGGTAAATAATTTTTGAAAAATCGTGATGAACATTTTTATAAAATAAAAAATGAGCATTTTATAAATATGCAAGATACATTTTTAAAGCGCGGTAAACCTTTTTGAAACACAGGCTGGAAAACTTGTAAAACACCGTGAAATGTTCTTAAAAATGCAACAAAAATTTCATATAACACAGTGAATATATTTCAAAACACGGGGAACATGTTTTGAAACGCTTGACATTCTAAAAAAAATACATGATGCATGTTTTAAAGCATGACGAACATTTTTGAAAAATACACTATGAACTTTTTTATGTAAGCGATGACCAAAAATATGAACATCAAATGAAAAAACTTAAAGAAGAGAATCATTGAAATAAAAATGAAATACGATAATTATGAAAGGAAAGAAAGAAGCGAAAAGAGAAGGAAAAAAAAGAAACAAAATAAACCGAAACGCAGAAAAGCTAAAAACTTTTTTTAAATTAAGAAATGTCCACAAATTTAGAAAAATATCATGATTATTTTTCTAAGCTAAAACATGATTTATTTTAGAAGTTCATAATTTCAGAAAATGTTCTTGACTTTTTATAAAAAATGAAAATGAAAAAATACATGAATATTCTTTAAATGTGGAGATGGAACCGGCCGACAACCCTCCTCACACCACTAATTAAATTCTCGTTGCACACATGTAGTTGCATGTCGAGAGTGGACTTGAACCTAGAACAAAAATGGGTCGGGCGCTAGCAGTGTATCCGGCGTGGAGTTGTAACCGGAACATAATGGTCGGCCCTCTAGTTGCGTATTGAGGATGAACAATTCCAAGTTTTATTGAAGGAAGAATGCAGCTCCAGCAGTCTTGGACAAAGCTACAATCCGAGAACAAATGTCTAGAGGAGTGTTGTGTGAGTTGATTACTGAAATACGTATAGTATAATAATATTCTTGGAATGAAATTGGGTGTTGAGGCGAATCAACCTGTGGTTGAGATGGTTAGGTGGACAGTGGTATCCCCAAGCCACCAGAGTTCAAATCCTGGTGCTCGCATTATTCCTGAATTTATTTCAGGATTTGCGGCGATGCGCTTTCAGTGGGAGGAGACGTTCCCGTCGACGACGAGGCGCCTACAGTTGCTTCGTAAATCTCAAGATGATATGCCGGCTCAGTCTTTCGGAGGTGCTCATAGGGGTAGGGTGTGCGTGTGTGCGTTCATAGGGGTGAGTGTATGCGCGTGTATATGAGCGCTTGTGTCTGTACTGATGCTCAAAAAAAAATTTGGGTGTTGAGAAGCTGACACTTGTTTTTTTTTACTGTTTTACCGTGAATATGAGCATACCACCGATTTATGACCTTTGTTTGTAAGTTCTCTTTAATTTCTCCTAGTGTATACTGGAACACTTCTACTTGTCTCCTGATCCTATTCTTACGTGAGTGATGCTCCGTGCATGCAGCATGCACGCATGAGATAAGGCTGGCCCGATCGGCACCTTCGGAATAGCGAGTCTCGCAACAGCACAGCCTAACAGAACGGACGAATCAACATACCTATCACAGTAGTTTTGAGAGCCCCTGCCACCAGCCCTCGACCCGACCTGAGCCGCCGGGCAGAGCCAGACGCCGCGACGCGCCTGCCGCCGCAGCCCCTAAACACATGAGTGAGGAGGGCGAGAGGATGGAGATCGACGACCTCCTCTCCGAGATCCTCCTCCGCCTCCCGCCGGAGCCATCTTCCCTCCCGCGCGCTTCCCTCGTCTCCAAGCGCTGGCGCGGCCTGTCCCGCGACCCGGCCTTCCTCCGTCGCTTCCGCGCTCGGCACCGCTCCCACGCGCCCCTCCTCGGCGGCTTCTTCACCGACTACCCCACCCCCGCGCACCGCAACAACTTCGTTTCCTTCGTCCCGACGCTGGATGCCCCCAACCGCGTCCGCTTCCCCTTCCCGGTCGCCGACTTCCCCTGCATACTATTCAGCTGTCGCCACGGCCTCGTGCTCGCCGCCTCGGAACACCGGCAAGGGTTCCTGGTTTGGGACCCCGTCACCGGCGACCAGCACCGCCTGGAAGAACCTCCGGGCCTCGACGCGATGAACGGGGCCGTGCTTCGCACCGGAGAGGGCCATTTCCGGGTCGTCTTGGTAGGCCACGACGAGCATCACACGCAGGCGCTCGCCTGCGTTTACTCATCGCAGACCCGTCAATGGGGCGGTGTCATCTCGGCACCGATCCCACCTGTTGTTTCTATAGTGACGGAAATTCCAGGTGTCCTGGTTGGGGATTCCATTTACTGGTTGTCTTCTAGGAATCCGGATCATCCGACTCCCATTCTTGAGTTCAATTTGGGTACACTGAGCCTAGCCGCGATACAGCTCCCGGTGAATATGTATGGCCAGGGGAATCACAGCCTCTGGGTTATGAGGGCACAGGATGATGGGCTTGGATTCCTCTTCCTGTGGGGCACCGACGCGCAACTATGGAAGAGGACGAAGAATGGCGGTGATGATGCTGCTAATTCATGGACGATCGCAAAGACTATTCAAATGGACAAGCTACTGTCCTTGAACACAGAGGAGGAGAAAAGGAGCCTGTCGATAGAAGGGCTTGTTGAAGACCGAAATGTGGTGTTCTTCAGAACAGCTATCGGTCACTTTATGGTGCATCTTGAGTCACTCTGGTCATTGAGGTGCAAGGAACTTTCCGAAACCCACATCATACATGTGTTTCATCCATTCTCAAGTGTCTACACAGCAGCAGATAATAGCACATCTTCATGATGCAGGTATAAAAATGTTTAAGTCATCTCCTATAAGCGGTTGATATGAAGTCTTCCACGTGTTTTCGTTAGTGTTATAAACAACAATCTGAATTACCACTGTATATATCAGTTGGCTCTTTAAAGTGCTTGGTGAATTCTCAAACATATAGTGTTGTTTTCTAGTGTTCCATTCTGATACTTGTGTGGCTCAATTGCATGTGATGTTTATAATCTTGGTAAACATTCATTAATTAGTCATAACTAGTTTTCTCTATGTTCGTTATTCCATTAGTTCTGCTTCCATAGCCAATGGGTTATCAGTGTTCTATATTGTCATGATTTTGGGTTTCTTTAGAAAAAAAAAGTATGAGTGTGTCCCTTCTCGCGGAAAAGAAAAATGGTAGCAACTTGTTTTCTAACATACACATGTCATTACTATTATTTGTACCAAACTATATATGTGGTTTGAGTATGACTTAGCAAAAGATAAATTATCAATTATTCCATCATTCGTAGAGTATAATAATGAATACAAAGAATATTGTTAAATGGTTTGTATGATAATTGAACTAAATATCATTGTTTCATGCCTTTTGAGGGTGTATAAGAATCATATAAAGTGTATAGTTGCAGTGTTACGTGGTAGGTTGAATTTAAAAATAGCTCATGAATAAAATAGCTTGAACCAACTAGTCATGAAATTGGTAGCTCAATCGGCATAATTGAAGCTTAAAGCTGATTATATTTTTCCGTCATCACATACTGTTATATCGTTTGACCATGTTAAAAATCTAGGTTTGTACTTAGATTGACAACTTTGTATGATATTTACAGAATATTTATTCATTATATAACTTTTATTAGGAGTCCTGGCACCCAGCTACAAGTTGCAAGTCCATTTGTATGAGAGAAAAGGATATGCACTCGTACAATACAAATTAATATATTGGCTTCATGTCATTATTTGAACCTGAGGGGTCACTATCACTTTGTTCTTGGATTTTGTTAGTCTTGTTTTATCTGATATGGTGTGGAAGTAACTTAAGAATAATTCTAGTTAACTTGGCTCTTCTTCCTCTAGATCCTCAGAGGAGTGATACCTTGGGACCTTTCCCTGTTTGTACCTATTTTCATGCCTACTCACTGCTAAAAATGTTGTCATGCTAGGTAGTGTTTGATGAATTATTTGGCCAGTCTTAACTGGACATGTAACTGTCCATTACCCTCTAATATACTCAATCCATACCAAAATATAAGGCATTTTTGCGATTTAAGTTGAACTGCAAAAGCGTCTTATATTTTGGTACATAGGTAGTAGTTTGTCTGGTCCAAACTAGATGTTTTTGTGGTTGCACACTTTATTTACTTTGATTTTGGTTAGATTTTAATATCACAAATGGAATTCATCACCCAAAACAACATTACTAGATTAATAATACTAATTTCTTTCATCAAGTATTGTTTTTTGTACTGACAAGTTGTAATTAAAGTGTATTGGCCAAAGTTTTTTGTTTCTGATATTGGGCAAAGTTAACATAAATTTTATGTCCATTTTGCAGTGAAAGAAGTATCAATCGATCAATTGATGCTTAACGGATTGCTATGGTCGTGGAAGTTAGCCCTTCCAGAATACTTCAGTCTGGTTCATCACATCAAGCTCCTCTCTTCCCCTACCATGACCGGTCAGCATCCCATTTTCCACCTGTCATGCCGACCACTTCTTCAAGTTGTTCCCGGGCGAGATTGGCATTGGAGCAATTGGTGGGCTCCGGCCACCGGCCGTTGGTCGATGCAACGTACTCCGACTCGTTAGTTTACATACTCCCTTAGGTAGTTGGATACATCGGCACAACACTACTTAGTGCCATAGGGCAAACTATAATTAAATTAACATTTATACTAATTTTTTATACTTATTTTCATTGAATCAAATCTTATCAATTAATTATTTTAATAAATTAGTTAAGATATAATGAAATTGCAATGTTGTTAATTTCAATAAAAGTGTTACTTGTGATATATACTTATCCACTGTCTATTGTTGGCAAAACAACATGCACTTTTGATGTATCACCCATTTAAAAGATATAGACACGAAACAGCCTTGAATGTGAGAACATAAGGAAAGACAAAAGTCGCATGCATTCAAAGATCAATTTGTGACACTTGAGTGAACATAGTGTCTATATATGTGTGTACGCTTGAATATCTTGGTTGAGATATCTAAAACACATAGTATAAGAAATATCTCTATAATAGTATCATTATATATTATGTAATACCTAAAACATTGGATCATTGGTTTACTCACTAGTGCAAAAAAGCCTAGCTATGACATGGCAAAAATGGCCTTGCTAATGTTGACACCCGATGCCACCAGTATGCGATCACTGTTAAAAATAGTAAAGGCGATGGAGCACACGTCAGTAGTATCATATATATACTCACTACTGGAATCAGAAGATTTGCCGTCTGCCACCTCTTTGCCGCCTGCTAGTGGACGGCAAAGAATGTCTTTGCCATGAGCCACGAGAAAGCAGATGGCAAAGCAGCAGCAGCAGACGGCAAAGTAATGCTTTGCCATTAGCCATTATTTTGCCGTCCGCTAGCTGACTGCAAAGAGGGTGTTTGGCCCACTGGTTGTTAAGCCCTAACGGGCCCCCTCTTTGTCGTTCGCCAGCAGACGGCAAAGAGTATGTTGCCATCAGCTTGCGGATGGCAAAGGCGACACGGACGGCAACGCTTCAAAATAAGATAACGGCCCCGCCCCCGCCGTCGCCCTCTCTCTTTCTCCTCTCCTCTCCTCTCCGCCTGACAAGCACCGCCGCCGCCCCGTCTCCCCAC